GGGGGGGGGGGTTGTCTTGATCTCACAACCCTGAGATCATGACCTGAGCTGAAATCAAGAGTCGGACACTTAACCAACTGAGCCACCCAGGTGCCCCTGTATATGTATTTTTGAAAACAAATGAGCATAAAGCTTGAAATAGTAGAGCAGACAGCACAAAAGAGCAAAGCACAAAAACTAAGTAACAAAAATTAATACTGTGGACACGTCTGTATTTTGTCCATTGATTCTTACCAGTTGGTATTCGTCTGGTCTGCTATCTTCACACACAAACCTTGATTCATTTTCTTTTCTGATAGTTCTTGAACTCCAGCCAGACTGGTCTTAGATTAGCTATGTGACATCATCCAGTGGGGCGTGTTGGAAGCCACATTCCTAACCCACTCCCTCAAAGACTGATTTAGTAGTTTCAGGATAGGGCTTGAAGTCCGTATTTTCAAGGTGCCTCCCATGTTGCAGATGCAGGGGAGACTCAGGGACCTCTGCTCTGTACCCTCACTCGTTTTCACCCAGGAGTTCCTTCCCTGTCCCCGCTATCCACGCAGTACCAAAAAGTGTGCCAACCTCTGCAGCCACTGTTTCAAACACTTATAACTACCCTGCCAAGGAGATGTTCTTAATCCCATAGTATAGGTGAGGAAACCAAGGCTCGATTATATTTAGTGATTTGTCCAAAGTCTTCTGCCTCTTTCCTTGACAAGAACATGTAGTTAATGCCATAGTTGATGTTAATTCATTTGTTTAAGCATGTAAAAAATCTCCTTAAGGGGACGGGCCAAGCCTTGCCCTTCCATGAGAGTCAGAAATTGATGGCAAGAAACAGAAACCCAGGGGTGCCTGGGTGGCTCAGTCGGTTAAGCATCTGCCTTCTGCTCAGGTCATGATCCCAGGGGCCTGGGACTGAGTCCCACATTGGGCTCCCAGCTCAGCAGAGAGTCTACTTCTCCCTCTCCCTCTGCCCCTTCCCCCTGCTTGTTCTCTCTCTCTCAAGTAAATAAATAATGAATCTTTAAAAAAAGAAAAAAAAAAGGGACAGAAACCCATTCAAAAGACATGAAGAAGACTTATGGAAAGGATATAGGAGAATTTCATGGAAACTGAATGTAGAAAATACAGCTGGGCCTTAAGGAAATTGGCTTAAACACAGGCTTGGGTGTTTGAGATACTTGAAATAACAGAGATAGATAATTCTCACATATTTATTTTCCCAATCGACGTATAAATGGCTTACACCCATAAGTTTCTCCAGCCAGGTTCAGGAGCTGCCCTTTGTCTTCCCATAGCCATAAATGGAACATTGCAGGTCCCTCCTTCCTGCATAGCTGCCACTAGGGTGTCTACTCTCAACACTCCTCCTCCTCCCTGTTTTCACCGGGCTCCTGGCCTTTGCTGGATAAAACAAAGGAAGAAAGCATTGCAGGGGAAAAGGGGCCCTTTATTCCCTAAAGGCTCTTTCATTCTATTTTTTTTCTTTTTTAAGTTTTTATTTAAATTCCAGTTAGTTAATATATAGTGTAATATTAGTTTCAGTAAGGCTCTTTCATTCTAAATGAGAGAAGTCTACTGAAACTGACTTAAAAAAAGAAAAAGAAATTTACTGGATTATGTAAATAAAAGATTCAGGATTAAGTCCAGCTCTGGAATTGGCTGGGGGGTCACATTATAAACTGCCCCAGCTTCAACAATTTTCCTATGGCAGGCATTTAATAAATATTTGTTGAATTGAATTAAGGCTGTGAATTTTCCAGAGTCAGGATGTCTAAGTACAGAATTTGTCATATTTCCTGGTTTTGATATATAGGGCTTTTATTTTATTGATGTTAATATTTATTAATATTAATATATTAAGTATTTTTATTAATATTCTACAGTATGTAATATTTTATTTTATTTTTCATTGAAGAATTTGGAAGCCAGAATTTTTTTTTTTAATTTTCAAGTATAGTTAGGGATATTTGTGCATGTGTGTTTTTATTTTGTTTTTTGTTTTACTTCTAGATTTATTGCTTCCTGGTAAGAAATTGTGAATATATTATTTTGGTGTTTTGCAATTATTTTGTTTTTCTTTTTGGAAATTCTTTCTTTAGATATGTTAATATATTCAGTCTGATTACAATCGGGGCTTGGCAGGGAAGCTGTTTTGTCACTTTAGGGTGACCTTCCCTAGAGCTGGTCAAGTACATTGTCTCTTTTAAACTTGAACTCTATATAGAAAGCTTATTTCCCCATTTTCAAACTACTTGGAGGAGGGTCTTGTCTGTGGCCTTATATACTACAATCCCCTCATGAGTACAGTGATAAATGTGCATACCTTACAGGGCTGTTATCAGGATTAAATGAGTTAATATATGTAAAATGTTTAGCACTGTGCCTGGTCCATAGTAAGCCGTCAATAATAGCTCTAAATGATATTATGTTCTTTTTTCTGAACCTGCAGTTTTGCTTTCAGTAGTATTCCACTTTGATAGATATAGGATGGTTTTTAATTACCCCCAACTTCTTTCTAACCAAGAAAATCACACAAACAGATGAACAAAAGGTAAAGAAAAACTTCCCTACTGGGCATCAGTGTGATGACTTTATGCAGCAACCCTTAACAACACAACAATAACAAAAGCCAACAAAAGCCAAGTTGATTTTGTTTTAAACATGTTCTACCAGGTTCTGTGAGAGAATTTGCAGAGCCGCTGAGCAATGTGTTCACAGCTGAATCCTAATAAGAGATTCTAATTTTCTACTTTTTGAGGACTTGTTCCTCTCCACCATCACTGTGTAAACCTTTGGGGCAGGGATTAGGTCTTTCCTTTCTGGTCCTCACTGCTGTGCACAGGTGCCTCATAGAGAGCTGTGAAACACATTAGGAGTTTTGTGAGGGTTAAGAGCTCTATTATTAGAGTCCGCCAGACCTGTTCAGCTACTCAGAAATTAAGGAATCTGCCTTAAGAGCTATGCCCCAGCCTCCAGTCACTTGCTTGTTATTATTGACAATTATCATGGTCCTTGTTTGCATACATATTTGGTAATAATTTCAGATGGTGTGGAAAAGTGCTCTGTAAACTTTATACCTCACTGAATCCACTTAAGAGCCCCTCAAGGTGGGTGAGTTTTTCAGATGATTACATGTGAAATAATGAAAAGTAATCACCAGCCAAATTATTATTCCTTTTATGAATGAGGTAAACTTTTTTTTAAACATTTTATTTATTTATTTGAGAGAGAGAGTAGACCGAGAGAGCAAGCACACGAGTGGGGGGGGAGGGGCAGAAGAAGAGGGAGAAGCAGGCTCCCCACTTGAGCAGGGAGCCAGACGCAGGGCTCCATCCCAGGACCCTGGGATCACCACCGAGCTGAAGGCAGACGCTTAACTGAATGAGCCACCCAGACGCCCCTGGATGAGGTAAGCTTTAACAATGAGGTAAGATTTTTAAAATCTGCCAATAATAACTAACAAGTGGTGTTTGGTGGTTCTTTCAGTGACATTACCTTAAAAATTTAAGAATTATTATTTGTTCTTATTGCAAGTCTACCAAAAATGACTAATGGTGTAGCACTGCGTTCCTTAATACTCTTGGATCTAAAACCACATATCCTCGTAAATATAATTTGTAAACACCTGACATTTAGTATTCAGATTTGTCAAACATCTGTCAGATGAAAACCAGAACACTTCGTGAGGCTGCGAAAGCCACCGGCTTTCTCTATTTTCAAGGTGGTCTTCTGATCTCCCTTATCTGAAGGCAAACGTTTGGCGGAAGACCAATTCGCCTTGTGGCAGTGACTGTTTATATGCTTTCTCATACAGCGCTTTCAGCTCTAAGTGAGGGAAGGTGGAGGCCCGAAGGATCCGTCATCTTGTTCCCGGGCGCCTTTTCTTCTCTTTTTCATCTGACTTCTGGTTCTGAGGTGGGTAGTGCAGCTCCGCGATAGTGCATCTCCCCAGCCCTCTGAATTTAGGCCGGCCTTATCCCTCACTGTCGTCATTCACTCCCTCCTGTGTTCCTATTTCTCCCAGCCGGATTTACTGCCTCGCAAAATTTTTTTGCCATTAATTGGTCGCGGGAAACCCCGCCGGAGCCTCACCCACCCGCAACCCACACACACGCAGGGAACCCTGGCCCGGCTCGCGCCAGGCCACAAGCACGAGAAATCATTCCATTCCCAGCGACCAATCAGCGCTCCGCACGCTGCCGCGCCAGCCAATCCAAGCAAACACACGTTGCCCTGGCCAACTTAGGCCACAAGCTCTTCGGTCGCACCCGGCGTCTGGCAGGGGACTTGGCTGGGGGATTCGGCCCTCTTCCCCTGAGGGGCTTGGTGCCTTCCAATTGGCTGCGAGCAGCGGTGGCCCGTCGCCCATTGGCTGCTGCCAGCCCCGAGGGGCGGGGAAGCCGGAGGAGCTCTAGAGCGTCCGTGCCGCGGAAAGCGGGGAGTCTGGGGCGAGCCCGGCGCGCCTAGCAGCGTACCACGCCTCGCTTCATCTCAGGTAGCCGGGGGTGCGGGCGCGGAGTCGTGGCGGAAGTGAGACGGCCTGGAGGGAGGGCGATGGGGGCTTTCGGGGCGCTCTCCCGGGTGCGTTTTCCGGAGCGGCCCCGACGAGCGGGGCTGGGGAGGCCGGCGTGGGGGGTGGCGGACCGCGGCGTCCGGCCGGGTGCAGCCTTCACCCGTGAGAGAGGAAAGGAGTCCCCAGAAGGATCTCAGGCTTGCACCTCGCCTCTCTGCACCGCTCACCAGTTTAAGGACTTGGATGCCTGCTAGGCGTCAGTTTCTGCATCCGTTAAATGGGGAATGGGTAGTAATAACCTTGCTTCTAGGGCCATGGTGAAGATTCACCGAGGTCGCGTTCCTTGAAGGGCGCAGTGCTTCCTGATTCGTGGTAGATGCACCGACAACGTAAGGCCCCATCTGCCCACAGCAAGCTTTGACTGAGGTGATACTGATGATAGAGGCAGCGTTTTCTAGGTTTACTGTCTTCCAGCTTCGGTCCTTTAACTCATGTAATTCCTCAATAGAGTTACCGTTATCCTTAATGTGCATTTAATAAAGATCACCTGAGCTATTTTGGGATCAGGAGCCAGGACAAAATGACAGCTTTAGTGTGATGTCAGATTTTTTAATGTGAAGTCTCTTCCAGCTTGTGATCAACTTCCGGTGTTTTACAGAAGAGACTTTTAGACTCTGAAGGCAGAAGTCCTGAGTTGGAGTTCTGTCTGACTCCATCACTTATTAGCTGTGTGATCATGGACAAGTGACTTAGTTTCTCTGTTGGTACTTTCTCTGCAAAATAAGGATAATAGGATCAGCTTTTAAGGTTGTTTATGAAAATTAAATGAAATAATACAATTTAAAGTGGCCAGAAAGACTGATCACATAGTAAATGATCAATAAATGTTAGCTATTATTTTAAATAAAGGATTAGAGCATTAGGAGCTCAAACATTAACTTGGACTCAAAGCTGAGATATTATTAGAATTTAATATTGCCTTAACTGTTGTAAAAAATCTCAACATTGTTGTAAAGCTGATACTAGAATCAGCTAAAGTGAACACTGAAACAGAGGGAAGGGCATTGGTCACGTTGTGGAAGTGGGCTTCCCTGTTGGATTCCTGCTATAGCCAGTCTCAAAAATGAGAAACTACTGTATTTGACTGAGTTGGAAAAGCTAAATTACAAATTCAAGATTGATTGGAAATCAAGCATATGCTGAAATTTTTATGTTAGGTAGATAATATAATTTAATTTACAAGGTCTTGGTTTGCATAACATCTTGGGGAAAATCTATGGCATGTTAAATTGAAGCTATTCACATAAAACCCTTATCAATTGGGACATGGAAGTTTAAACAATTCTGATAATATCTTCTTTAACAAGTAAATTCTGACTTCATCATACTACATAGGTACAAACAGATTTTTATGACATTCACTTTTTATTAGAGGTTAAAATGTTTATTATGTTTCATATTTAAAATAGAACCTATGGCCATCTCCCTGTGATGTAAAGTTGATGAAAACTGGAGTTGTCTTGGCCAAAGACTATGGTGCTGATAGATGGCCACAAGACAATTTCTGACTTTGGCAGGCTGCCCCCTCTACAATGGCAGCCAGTGTCTACACTAGTGATCATTGCAAAGAAATGGGCATAGAAAACACGAACAAAAAGGTTAGTTTAAAGTAAGGGAAAAAAATAAGGAAAAAAAAGTAAGAGAAAAAAATGAAGGTGGACATTACTGAGCACTGAGTAATAGGACTGTCAAAAGTATACAGCCTTTTTGAAGGAGCTGCTAGATTTTGATACGATTAAGTGGTACCTATTCTCTGATATGTAAGTGATGGAATTGGAGAGTTTCCTGTTGTAGGTCAAGAAAGGGAAAGAAAGAATTAGTAAGAGGGAGTTCAGAATAGTATTTAAAACATTTTCCTTACATTCTCCATAGGTGGAGATTGCAGTAGAGCATAGTGTATGCTTTCCTTTGAATTAATGGGAGTACTCTGTTTTATTAGAAGAGCATCAAGACCTTGATAATAACCCCATTAGTGTTCGCTCCCCAATTCTGGAATATATTTCCAGAGATATGTTATGCTTGCCCACACACAGATAGTTGAGACAGTAACCATTATTCTCTTTTGGACTTAATCTTGATGAAAAAAATCCATTTTTGGAATGGATGAATGAACTGCCTGGTTAAATACTTCATTTGGGCTAAAAAAGAGCTTTCTGAGTTTACACTTGTTTGTTCTCCTTCTTTCCTCCTCCTACTCCACTACCCTTAAAAGAGGCTCATTAATAATTTTTAATGTTTTAGCTTTGTTGTTGTTGCAATTCAGAGTTTACTTAAAAGGTGGAATAAGTCAGCTTTGAGAGCAAAAACATCCATATCTGTAGTTCTGGGACCTGGTAGATACTAGATGTGTGGTAAATAAAATAGTAGACTTCCTTGAGAAATTGCTGTGTTTAATTATGGCAATGGAATTTTTAGTCATTCAGAAGCTCAAGGATGATTGGTGTAAACAGGCTCATCTTAGATATCTTGAGGTCTTCCATAAGTGAGACTAGTAGCTCACTGTCTACCTATTTTTCCCACTTTTATTTCCTGGCTTCCTACTGCATGCTAGACATAGGGGCATAACATTGAACAAGTCACATTTCCTGTCCCAAAAGGTTTATAGTTAAATTGGAAAAGATGACCATTGAATAGTTACAGAGTTGCTGTGAGAAACATTGGTGGGTTGGGGGGGAAAATAACCTAGTCTTTAGGGGAGTCCAAGAAAGAAGAGTAGAAATTAGGCAGTGAAGCTCAGCCAGATCATAAAGGGGCCCATAAGCCATATTAAGGAGTTTAGGCTTTATAGTAGTCAGTAAGAGGGAATGATTACTAAGGTAAGCACCTTAAAGATCCAGATTCTCATCTTTATAGGTAAGTTTTTATTGCTTACATTTGTGTAATGGATTTGTACATAGATAACATCTGTGATAATAACATTTTTACATTTCATCTTTGATTTCTATCAAGGAGATTTGAAAAAAAAAAATATCTTACCGGCCAAACACAGGAACCTGGCAGGCAGCCTTTGGGTTTAAAGAATATTGTTTAATCATAATGATCCCAGCAATAGATAAATTAGTTTTTCAAGTCTTATCTAAGAATTTGTGTTTGTTTATAACATACCCTTGATTAAGGTCATTGTACTGGCTATCAAGTTGGCAGTCTCTTGAGGGGAAATGAGATACCTTCCTGACTGGCACACTTCTTGAATGAGCTCATCCACTTTTAGTCTATGGGTGGGATCTATATTTATTATATATTTTGCATCACTTACATCATTTACATAGATCCTAAATTCTATGTTATTGAATTTTCTATATATACTTTCCCATGTTTCCCATATTTTGGGATACACCACCCCAAAATATGCCACTTTGGAATAAGGATTATTTTGAGCTGAAGGCAATTCAGCAAATGCAGAAAGAGCTGTTTTCCCTCCCTCTACTGCCTGAAAGTAGGACATAAATTTCCCTTTGTGAAGGTCTTCCCTCTCCCCTCTCCTATACTAGGAGAACAACTCATCACTGGAGGTAGAGTTGGCACCAAAATTGTCTGAACAAACTTACTTTACTACAATAACTTTCTTTTCTATTAATTTTGTCTCATATATTTACTTTCTCATAATTTACCACCCCTAGAATCCCAAATTCCTTTTCCTTTGTCTTGTCACTTTTCCGTAATTTATCACCTTTTGTTAGAATGGTATAGAAGCCCTAAGTCTAACTGCTTTTTTTGGGTCTCCATTTCTTTCTTTTTTGTGAAGGCCTCTACGTATATAAAAAATAAAATATTAACAGCAAATAAAATTTGTGTGCCTTCTTTCACTTTAATCTGCAGGTCCCAGAGACAGAATCTAAGAGAGTAGAGAAAAAGGTTTTTTTTTCCCCTACAGTTCTATAACATCTTGTTTATCATTTTTAATGGCTTGTATGCTTTGTTCTATGCTATTTAAATATTGACTACAATATTGATTTATTTCTGTCATCTTTAGTTTTTAGATAGTGGTTCTCAACCCTGGCTGAATAACAGAATGATCAGCGAGGCTTTTTATAGAACCTAGATTTTGGGGGCCTACTCCAGAACAGGCCCAGTGAATCAGACTGTCTGGCAGTGGGCCCTGAAATCTAATATCTAAAAACAGTGTCAAAGAAAACCAGAGGTAGATAGAAGTTAAAGTGGCAAAGGCAAATCTTACTCAAGAACTATTAAAGTAGGGGAAAAGATACATCAGTATAGAATTGCACCCTGTTCTGGAGGTGCCTGGGTGGCTCAGTCGATTAAGCCTCCAACTCTTGGTTTTGGCTCAGGTCATGATCTTGCAGTCTTGGGATCGAGCCCTGTGTCTGGCTTCATGCTCAGCGTGGAGTCTGCTTTGGATTCTCTCTTTCCCTCTGCCCTCCACCCCATTTTCTCTCTCTCTCTCAAATAAATAAACAAAATCTTAAAAAAAAAAAAAAGAATTGCAGTCCAGTCTGAGTACAACAAGGACAGTGGGGATTTGTAGCCAAGGAGCAGGATAGGTGTCAATGGGTGGGAAATTGCTAAGAGGAAACATTAGAGGTAAAGGGGATTCTTGCTGCATGCAGAGCAGCATGATAAGATCAAGGGTAGGATGAGGAATTTTTGAGGGTGAGGGGTGTTTCAGTAAACTAGCTCAGCAGGATTCTTGCTAAAACTGAACTTAGGGGCCAAAGACAAGCCCAAGAACAAGGCCTAGTCAAAAAGAGGACTCAGAGGAGCCTAGGAAGGGAATCTTTGTCAACAGCTACAACTACTACAAAATAAAACAAAGGGGATTCTTATGTATGCATCTGTACTTGAGGATTGCAGCCTTATTTCCATAGAAGTTTGAGGCTTGACATTTCATTTAGATCTTCTCTTTATTTCCTTTTTAGTAATAACTTGATGGTTCTGTAAATTGTGCAGCTTTTCCCCAGAAGGATACAGAAGAAAAATTCTTTATTCTTTTACTGGAGTGCACTAAGGCACCAAAAGAACACAAAATCAAGACCAAACAATTCTGTTTTGAAGCAAACACACTTCAACAAGTATTTTAGGGGCCTATTGTGTTCCAGGCAATGTTTTAGTTGGTGGGGATATAGTGGTAAATAAGGCAGTCAAAAGCCCCAGCTCTATAAGTTGGGGATGTGATGGTGAAAGGGTAGAATATAGTATACCAATAAATAAACAAGTTAATTTCAGATTGTGATAAACACTATGAAGAAACTAAAAGAAGGTTATAATAGAGACTTGCAGAAGCTGTATTAAGATAGGAGGTTTAAAATGAAATTTTCATTACAAGTTGTTTTTAGTCATGCTCAGATTTGGGATCTAATAATCCAGGCAGAGAAATAGCAAGTACAAAGCCCAGAGTCAGTGGCAAGCTTGGCCTATTTGGGGGGCAGAAAGAAAACCAGTAGGACAAGAATATTCTAGGCAATGAGAGGAGGTGGTGTGAATAGGCATCTCTTAATTTCTATTAAGGGTGATTCCTAGGCTTTGTCTTTGAGCAACTGGCTCAATTATCATTTTAAAAGTAAATTGTTGGGGCATCTGGGTGGCTCAGTCAGTTAAGCATCCAACTCTTGATCTCAGTTCAGGTCCTGATCTCAGGGTCCTGAGTTCAAGCCCTATGTTGGGCTCCATGCTGGGCGTGGAGCCTACATTAAAACATAAATAAATAAAAATAAAATAAATTGTTAAGATGGGGAAGACTGAGTGAAATTGAGGGGAGCCTAGGGTGATACCCATTAGGGTGAAGCTCTAAAAAGGCTTCTGGATCTGGGACTTTGGAGTTCTGTCTCTCTTCCCATTTCCCCTTTTCTCCAGCCTTTCCACATTTCAGCCTCAAGATAGCCAGAGTTTTTGCATGCTTGCATATTGATCAAAGGCTTCCAGAACAATTAGTCTAAAAGAAACCTGCAGAGCCTACATGGACTTTTCTAACCCAGCCTAGGAAGTCATGCAGTCACAGACCACCTCTTGATGGGAAGCAATGTTTTTAAAACATTACAGAAGCTTTCATTATATCGTTTATTATCTTTAAGGTTAATAATCATTTCCCTTTAAAAACAATGTTGAACAGTAGCTTATCTTTGGAATTATTAATGATATATAAAATTATGAACCATTTGTTTATGCTGTACTGATGGTTCTAAAAGTCTTCATATGACCTCCTTCCTTACACAGATACCTTACTGAATCCTATAACACTTTATCAAATGATATAAAATATTGAAAACAGTGCAGTTCTTCAAACTTTTGAAATTGTTCAGAGTTCTGTAACCCTAACCTGAAAGGATGTATGAACAGGTTTCTAGTTGTGCTTGTCATTAGTTTTCTAGAATGAGTCCTAAATCTGTTGGATGTTAAATTAAAAATTTAATGGCTGAAACTGTAAAGACTTTTTAAAAAAATTTATTCCTTGTGTATTTATATTTGTAGTTTGGAAACAGCAATATTTTTTTCTTTACATTATCTAGAATTTTATAATGTATTTCTTTTTATTATATTCCTTTAGAAAGGGAACTAGGATTGTAGTTTACTTTTATATGAGTGATTTTAATAACTTAAAATGTGTGATACTCATCCTTGACTAGGTGTTACTCATCTTGGCAGCTTTTAGGGAAAAAAAACCTATGCCCAGGTCCTACTCTCAGAGATTCTGATTAGTTGATTTGGGGTGGGATCCAGGTATAAGTATCTTTTACGGCTCCCCAGTGAGTCTATTATGAAGCCATATTTGAGACTCACTGGTCTACTGCTTCAAATTGTGGCATTTGCTGATGCTCATCTTTGTCTTTGTAACAGAAGAAAAAAATGGAAGGCCTGCCTGATGCTGCTGCTTTTGCAACTAGACTTAAAAACACTCTCATCCAGTATCATAGCATCGAAGATGATAAGTGGCGAGTTGCCAAGAAAACGGTGAATTATTTAAATTACTTATATATGGCATTTATCTTCTATCTAGTGAGATGGTTGATGACTTTCAAAATGGTAAGGGAAAATAGGAACCATACTTTGGGTGGATGGCAGGATAGATAATTAAGATAATAAAGTCAGTGGTTTGACATCTCACCAAGGCAAAAGCAATAATCCTGCACTGATTTCATTACTGCTTTAGATATTGGACATGAGAATAGACTCTGGCAACAGGAGCCTAAAGAATAGCTTCTAAGGTCAACATATAAAATATAACATGTACTGATAGTTTGAAATAGTTCCAGATATTTCAACAAGCCTGTGAGGGGGGCCAGTTAGTATTCTTTTCTACTGGTATGACTTGTCCAAACTATCACAACCCTAGAACCCAGGACTCTTCTAGTGAAGTACTCTAGCTAGTCTGATATTCAGAATTTCTTGGGAAATGAACAGAAAAAAGATGTAGGGACTAATTCAAGGTCACACTGTCATAATAGATGTGAATTGTTTGATTTTAAAAAAGATATGAGCAAGTTCAGAATGAAATATTTAGCATTCCTCTTGTCTTAGTCTAAATGTGTCAGTAATGGTAAATAGATAAGATTGGAGTGAGGCAAATAATAATGCCTGGTGCGGATCTTAACAAGGTTTGCATCTCATTAAACTACTGAGAAATCTGTTTTGGACGTCTGTACTTTAAGCAAGATGTGAAGAACTTTAGGATACAGAAGAAAATCAAATATGGATCATTTTGATGGTATAAGTGACTTTTATGTATCTCTTTGGATATTAAGTTTTATTTTAATGCAAAGACTGATGTTCTATAACTTGAAATTGTCAGTTTTATATCCAGAGTTCCACCTAGGTAATGATTTATGCCCGTATACTGTTTGTTATTTTTCCAGAAAGATGTAACAATTTGGAGAAAACCTTCAGAAGAATTTAATGGATACCTGTAAGTAAATTCTTGTAGTTTTATGTAGCTCTTAAGACATTGCCAGACTTCATATATATATATAA